TAAAGAAAAAAATTTGAAGCTCTAAATCGAAGATCTTATATTTCTTTCAAATCCCAATATTTTCAGAGAATTATGATATTTATCTTTCGATTTCTTCTTTAATTAAATAGAAATATAATATCGGAGTTATATATATTATTTATATTTATTATTAAATGATTCTCTTCGATAGGCCTGCACAGAAATAAATTTTATTAATATTAAAATATAAAATATACAAAATTGAATTATTTATACTAGATTATATTGTCGATAAATAATTATATAAAAATTCGAATTTATAAATGAAAACATATAGATATAAATTCTCCAAATAAATTATGTATTTATAGAATAGGTATATTTATGATATAAATGAATTCTATTTTTGAATTCATTCTTATATAGATTTTCATCATAGAAATGAATTGCCCCTCGAATTATAGGGTCATACCATTAAATTACAAAACGGTAAGTAGACCATCCGTTCAATGGACCGCGAATCTAAACCATTTGAGTATTTGCACTCCATGCGTCACGCACAACTTGGTCTGGTGTGCATGCTGTGCAGCTCCGCTTCTGTAATTCAAATCGATGAGTACTGATCCTACTCATTTCAACATTTGAAATACGATGCTAATTTTCTCTTTCCTGACTCGCACTGCCCTTTCACTTTCTTCGATGGGCTCTGGACGAAGATCACGTTGCGGTGCTTATACGACTGGCATGCTGGAGAATATCGTACTTTAGACTCGTTTCCATAAAATAAACAATAGGTTTTTTTTCCTGGTTTCGGACGGATTCAAGGTCTTGAGAAACGACGCGTCTATTTTCTGGAGTATGCCCTCATCGAAGATTCCTGGTTTGTACTTTTGAAGGGGCTCCGCCTTGAAAAAGTCGAAGCGCTTTACCGTGACGATAGTTGGTATCAAATCGTCACGTCCCGCTTCGTTCATTTCGAATTTCGATTGGCAGAACGCAATGATTTTCGATGCCAAGGATTTCCCTATGCGTATTTCCTCTATCCATATGATGGCATGCTGACGATAACCTCCCTACTCGGCCATCAACTCGGAGAATGGGCAGTTCGAGAATGGCGAGCCTGTCTGTTTGACTGGTTTGGGCCTTGGGCATTGCCGCGAGCGCCGGTGCCATGCGCCGAAGGAGCCCATGGTCGCAGCGAGCAAACGTTCTCGAAGCTTTGGGGGCTCGGGAACTGTGCCTTTCTGCCTTGCGCCGCACCTATCTTTGCCAAGCCGAGCATATCAAATGTCTTCTTACAGTGGCAAGACTGGTGCTGGCTGATGAAGCCAGCCACACAAGGCTGCAAGCCAGCAAGCCCGCTCAACCCTACAGCACATACTCTCGGACGCCAGTCTGTTTTTCTGGCTGGAACCTTAGGCTCGGAAAAGGAGAGGGCTAGACCCTCCGAAAACTAAAGCGTCCACCATGCGGCGGGACGGAAACATCTGACATGACTGGCACGGAAAATCCATGGCAAACCATCGAAAGGTACAAGGGCTGCAGATCTTTGACCTCAGCACCGACATGACTGTAAAAGCTTTCGGCTGGCCTGCTGCAGGCGTGCCAAGCATGTTGCGATGTTGGCGCTTAAAGTGGTGGATGGCCTCCGTCTGATATGCCGATCTTCGCCGGGGGCGTAGCAGAGCCAGCAACACAGCAGTCCTTGTCACCCTCTGTGTCTGGCAAGAAGCTGAGGCAAACGGGGAGCACACACAGTGCATGGAACAGCCCCACCAAAACCATCCCTGTCATCATGATGAAGAAGGTCGTGAACACGGCCGACTGGCTGAAAGCAAGGGGCATTTGAGAGAGGCCGGTGCTTATTCCGGCATGCAGCACTGCCGGACCACGGCCCTGCAGCGCTGCCAGGGCCCTTGATTTCGAAGAGCCGGGCATGTGCCAAAAGGAGTGCGCGATGTGCGCACAGTAGTCAACACACAGGCCCACGGAAAGCAGCAAAGGAATTACAGAAAGCGAGTTGAGCTTCAGCCCAGTCAAGACCATCCAGCCGAACATGTGCACACAGCAGGAGTACAAGGCGAGCGTCAGAGCGGCCATCATTGCAAAGTTGAAGGACAGCACAAAAACGGCTGCCAGCACCGCAATAAGCATGAACAGCAATGACGCTGTAGTGTTTTGGATAAGAACTGCATCTTGTTCTCGATACACGTCCGATGGAGAGTACACGAATGCAGCCTGCAGGATCACATGGGCAAACTACTAAAACGGATCACATTCCCTTCTTTTAAGCTTGGCCTTCTCCAAGCGCAAATTCGCCTCGCTGACCGTAGCACGGAGGGACAGCATCTTCCAGGGCGTGTAATCCTTTGAGAGCAGGCGGATGCGCGTCGCCAGCAGGGATCCAGAGCTCGCAGCGGTCCTGGAACTGAATGCTCGTTCCCCACCCACTATCACTCTGAAAGCGAGAGAAAAGTGACAAAAGCACAGATCAACTGGAAGTTGCCACGATTGCGACGCCTGACGAAAGCTCCAGCACGCTCAAGGGATTGGCCTTCTGATGAGTTCCTGAGTAGGGAATAAGTATGAATGAGTCCCACGGGGTCCACACTCGACAACCTACTTTTCAAAAGCGTTTCGAGCCATTCGAACAGACGGGCATCATGAAAGACTCCAGCTTTCCTGTCAGACTGACTGAGCTCCAACCAGGAGGAGAACCACGTTCTCTCTCAGCCTCCATGAAGGTCTTTAGCCAGAAGCTTCCAAACGAGTCAATGACGTCGCTGGAGGCCATCAAAGAAGCGTAGAGATGCAACAGCCCCTCTTGTGTTGACGCGTCTTCCAGCGGAGCGACGCCGAGGCCAAGGGCTGAGTCGGCGATCTCCTTTCCAAACGAGCAACGCATCCGCTATGCCTAGACGCTATGAGGCCAGACATGGTCCAGGGCCGCCTCACATGCGATACCTGATGGGTGCATTTTTGCAGGTTCCGTGTCCTGATGTTGGACTAGAATCTCTGGAAATTCAGCTTCCGAAGGTAGCACTGCGAGTTGACGAAAGTAAGCCGCTGTCATCGAACTGGCAGGCACAAGCTCTTGTGGCTCCAGGCCCACCTGCTCAGTTGACTTCCGCGCGAAGTACAGTTGAATTGTGCGTTCAGGCTGCAGAAAAAGACAGACTTCTTGCTTGCACCTTCAAGTCGAAGGCCACGATGGTCGAAGCGGCCATTAGCGTCAGCCAAAGCAGAAGGACAGCACTCCGCAACCATGCCGATGATGTTAAAGACTTTGACAAGGCCTCTGGTCAGCGCCAAGCTTTCTTAATGTGTTCGCATGAGCCTAAAACATGACAGCTGCACCTCGAGTACCCTTTGCCAACCACAGGATTGTATCCGGCCAACACGACAAAACTCTGGGATCATTGAGCATGAAGGACTGCATCGTCGGCGCCTGCACTTGCCAGATTCCAGCATACTTCACGTATTAAGCTCTTGCAATCCTACGTTTAGTCACCTTCTCTGTCAACCTCTCGGGCAAGATATCCAAACCACAGCCCGAGTGATGCACATGAAGACCACGCCAACACGTCGTATATACAAGAGACTGAGTCTGTAGGTCCCCATCAGGCCCATCAGACCAGATCTACATGTTCTGCCCTACATGTACTTGGTGACTGGCGGGTGCAAGGTCCCTGGTTTGTCGAGGACGACGAAATACTTGGTATTGTTTGAATGCTTACTTAGACTATCTGGTGAAGCTGCAAGGAATCATTTCGATCGATATGGGAAAGAGATGGATTTAGGGTGTAGAACCATTGTCGGGGCGAGGCTGGTGATGTGCCCTTTCCATGAATCTGTGCGCCTCTCGTCCAAGGCCAGCATGGCAACGAAGAAAGTTACTTGAAATGCGAAGTCCGTGGCCATGCCCACGCTTGTGTAGATGCAAAAGGAGATCAGCGCCGGCATGGGAGTACCTGTGACTCTGTGACTTCTCCTCTTCCTGCTACTATTGCTACAGCTACAGCTCCTGGCAGTGCCACTGCTACCACAGCTGGCTTAGATGATTTTAAATGACCTGCATTTGCAAGTCAGGAAAAATGGCAGCGCACCAGCTCCAAGGGCAAAAGCGACAATGTTGGTGGTGGACGAGAGGAGCACCGAGGGCCCAGCCTGTGGTGCGCACGGGACTTCGGGCGGAATTTGAGCCCTAGTACTAGTACCGGTACGTCCCGCCTGGCTAGGACTAACCTACGATGCAGGTACGTACTAGTACTAGTACTAGTACTACAAGTACCAAGTACTTCAAGTACTATTACTACTACTACTACTACTACTACTACTACTCCTGCTGCTGCTGCTGCTGCTACTACTACTACTGTTACTACTACTTCTCGACTCGATTGGTGTTGGCTTCGAGGGTGAGGTGGGGAAGAACAAAAGCTAGACTCGAGCGGTAGTCAGCTCTCGAACGAATCCTGTCAGAGTAGGCACAAGTGTATACACGAGCGATCTAGTCACTTCTAGTCTTCACCAACTGTGCCAGTCTTACGACTACCAGGACCGAGGCTAGTAGTGCAGCAAGGGCGACGACGAAGACTACATCTTTCCACGATCATTGGGATGCATCCCCGTGGCATATTAAATCTGCTTGGAGCCGTTTCGCTCGAAGTAGAAGTAGTAAGCAGTTCGCAGCACGAGGAGGTGGAGTAGGAAAAGGAGGAGTTGCAGTAGTAGTAGTAGTAGTAGTAGTAGTTGTTGTTGTTGTTGTTGTTGTAATTTCTGTATGTGCACTGCCCTAGTCCCTGATTTGGGTTGATAAGTGCCTAGCCTGTGCCCCTCCGGATGTCACAGCAATCTGCAATCCACACAATAAGACTGTACAGTTTTCTCAGATGTTCTCCAATCGTTTCTACCTGTTGCAGTAGTGCTCCTAGTTGCTACCACTTCCAAGAACAGTATCAGGCTACAGGCCATGGCGTTCTCTCAGAGCGTCGTGCTTCCGCTGTTGGACCTTGTCACAGTACAAGGTGCGCATAGGCGCCGGGATGCACATCCTGCCCCAAAACTTTGACCGCCAAGCGAGACTCCTTGCTGCGTTGGGAAGAAAGTAGTAGTAGTAGTAGTAGTAGTAGTAGTAGTAGTGGTAGTGGTAGTGGTAGTGGTAGTAGTAGTAGTAGTAGTAGCAGCAGCAGCAGCAGCAGTACTAGTCGTCCTGGCGGTGGGAGCGATAATGGTGTAGTAGCAAAAGAAATAGGAGTAGGAGGAGTTGATCGCGCAGCGTCCAACTGAAATTCTCGCTGCTGCGGTTGTGTTGTCATTGTTGTTGTCGCCTAGAAGCACGGCTGTGAGTCAGGACGACGGTGAACAAAATGCCACACACAAGCGAACAAGCAGAGTCGGCACGCGACCAGCAGAATCAGAATCAGAGTGGGTGCAGGGTGCGCAAGAACTCTTGCGTGACTGCAGGACGCTCAAAGTGCCTTGGCGAGCGCCTTCGCGATGCGCTCCTCCGTGCCTGGGTTCTCGGCATCGTCTTCTTCCAGGGTCCGCACGATCAGGAAAGAATCGTCCACACCTTGGCTTGCGGCTTGCGCTCAGTGCTTCGCCACCATCACGAGCCCAGCACCTAAGGCACACGCCGACTCCCATAATCACGAAGATGGCCTGATTCCATGCTCACATCTAGCTCTTCATGACACGTTGCGCCTGCAAGCGAAGCCGGGGATCAGACTATGCTTACGGTGGCATTGTAGCGAACTCCAATCGCTGCACACAGGCCGAAGGCAGTCAGCGTGGCCAGACCGACGGATAGCATGGCTGCCGTCGCCATCAAACCCCTTCCTCGCTGTAGATCTACGTGGCGCCCAATGAATGCACTAACATATACCGACATCAGACAGTAGCCCAGGACAATGCTGTTGACGTCGCTATCAACTGCATCCTCCAAATCATCTGCCAACCCACGCTGGCTGAAGACGTGGACAGACCAGGCTGGCGAGCGGCCTTCTGCCTGCCGACCAGCGACTCACGGAGCACTCTGTGCAGCCTTTCCCTCGACTCTCGACACGTAAAAGTCAGATCTGGGGCCCCTGCAGTCGCTGTGACGTGGCGAGCAGCCGCCTCCCACTGCTCGATGTGCTGCTTCATGGGCAAGCTTCCATCGAGCAGATAGACACTCCGAAGTGCATGAACTCGATCATCATCCCATGCTAGCAACTGGCCAAGACTGGCAGCCTCGAAGGATGTCCCTTCCACTGCCGACTTCAGCTTTTGGGCTGGATCTGGGTCAGATTCCAATGCCCCCTCGCTAAACCCCCATAGCTGCAATGGGCTTAGAATGCTGTCAGAGCCAGCAAGCAACCCTCCATCCTTGTCATAACAGGTGGTTGGGGCAAGACATGCGCCCAGCAGGGAACGCTTTCCGGCTGTACTGTTGATCACGATGTCAACCAAAGTGTTGTGGACTGCCAGTGCTTGCAACAAGGAATCTTTGCTGGAAAAGCTGAGGCTGCGGGAAACAAGAAGGACAGACACCGATCGGGAGGGAGGCTGCGCTGTTAACGCTTGCCGGCGATCTCTGTTGAGCACGCTCTCCGCTTGAAAAGGCACCCAAATCTCCACGACATCTTCATCTACCTGTAGCCAAAGCAGTCCACTTCCGCAAGTGGCAGCTAGCAGAAGCGCTGCAGCGATGATGTACCACGGACGCCTAGCAACCAATCGTCCTGTGCTGCAGAAACAGCTGGACTGTACATCTGCGACGTATTGCGCCACCGTCGAGACCGCTTGTCCCACAGCAGGGCTGGGAATGGAGCCACATCTTCTGCGGTGCTTGCACCAGCGCTTCCGCACGATCAACAGCATGGCAGCGACTGACACCAGTACCAAGCATGCCGTGCACAAGAATCCAATCATGCGTGGATCGCTTTCCAAATAGCGGCAAGCTGTTGCCGCACCATCACACTGCCCGCATGCATCAAGCACACCGACGGAAAGGCCATCACAAGTACAAGAAGCGTTGTCACCGTTGCAGACACCACAGACATCGACAGCCAGCTGCGTGAATTCGTTGCCGTTGCAGAATCCGCAAGGTCTGTCTTGCAGTGAATATGAGCCGCTGTTGCAAGATGATGCAAAACAATCGGATGTTTCATCGCGCTCTGCGCATTCTGGCCACGATCCATCCACAAAAGCATCACAATCGAGCTGCTGTTGAGCCGAGGCTGGCATCATGGCCAAGACTAGAGTGCCACATTGCTCTCGCGCGGCTTGGCAAACGCTGCGACATATCGGCAAAGACTTTCCATGGGCACAGCCTGGAACAATCTGTTGACAGGTGAAGCTTCTCAGAGCACGAGCACATGATTCAGGCAGAAAGCTTGGTAGTCCAGCCAAGGACTGGGCAGCAAGGCCATCCAGTGCTGAAACGTTTTCCGTTTCCGAAACAAGTCCAAGAAATCCCTCGCAGAATAAACCATCTTGGTGTGGAAATCGGCACCCCTCCAGCTCTGGACAGGCCATGAGACTCAGCGAATCACCGCGTGCTGATTTCCCATTGGATTGGCGGCCGGCTAGGTCGAACTGCTGCTTGCCACTAGCATCCGATAACCTCTGCAACCGAGCGAAGCAATTTAGGCCGAATCTACTCTTCTACAACTGCCGGGCGGTCGGCCGCAAAGTTTGCGATAGTATGTCATATCTCCTGCTTGGCTTTCCAAGTCTGAGCCTGCGAAAAGAAGCAACCTCCTCTGCATCTGCAGACAGACCCGAATTTCTGAATCTTCATCAACACAGCTGAACACAGCTCTGGGCGTTACTTGGACCATCATAATGAACTTGAGGTGAGGCTGAACAGGTTCCCATTCTTTCCCTATCTCAAACAACTTTCGCACCATGGAGTTGATTCACTTGCTTGGAAGTCAGCACGTGTTCACTGTGTACTTGTCATTCTCATTATACTCAATGCACCCGGCAAGTCAGGCTGAGAAGGATCAAAGCTGTCAAACTTGCGTCCCCGGGAATTGTCGAGATTTGGATTTACTGGCTCGAGGGCAATTCGTCTCCGAGCGAGGACGGCAATCATCCTGTGCGGAAGTCTCGAAAGTGCTGAGAGCAAGCGCTCATGCCACTCGCACGACTTCTCAGCGACAGCATTGATTTTCTGCAGAGCTCTAGACGTTCTTCGTCAGGGCTGGAAGTGCATGCCCAGAACCACTTCCCCTGGTCAAAGCTGAAAGCTTCGCATGCCGCACAGGAACTGGCAAAGTCAAGGGCTGCCTTGAGGGCAGCTGGCTCTCTCCAGTTGCGGAGCGAGGGGTCCTTAATGGCTGTCTTTCCTCAGCTGGCTCTTCATTGAGGACGGATCGCTGCAGCTACCAACCCGTGCTGCCAAAGATCACTCAGTGCCACCTTTCGGTAGGTTTCCTGGATTCCTCTTGTCAGGCCCTTCCAATACTCCTTCGGAAAATCTCTCCAATTGAAGTATCGACCCGAAGGCACGCGTGAGCGGGTAGAGCGTCCTGTGTCTGATCCATGGTGCCGCTCAAACCACCCACCTGTTCCTGGCACAAGGCTGTTCACACGTCAGCCAGGCATCGCACGTGCCCTGCCTCAGCCGTAGCCATCTTGCCTTCAGTTGTTCAATGGTGAGGTGTCCATATGAGCAGGCATGAAAGTCGGGCTTCGCATCCTGCCTTCCAGTACTTGAACTTTACTCTTGCACATCTCCTCGCGCGGTCTTTCCGGGCTGAATGAAGCTTTCCAAACAAAAACGAAGCAGCGCATAATGTCTGTAGTGCAGGCGAGCAGCTAGGCCGGCTTCCAGCGGCTTCAAACTCTCACTCAGCTTGGCACTCTCCTGAGACATGCTTTAGGTCGCTGCGACCTTTTGTCAAAACAAGTCGGCTGTGCATGTGCGACTCTTGCAAGGGACTGGCCGCAACACCGTTAGCTCCCAAGCTTACAACTCCCTGCCTCTTCCTGCGATCGAATGCGCTTCATGCACTCCTCGTGCCTCAGATCCCCAACTCAGCCGATTCGTTTGCCCACTGTTGCAATCCAAAGCTTCCCGATTCTCATCCAAGCGGCTGCCGGGCCCTCGTTTCAGCCTCTTGCTTGAGTTGGTCTTGGTCCCGCTCCCTGCAGTGCTTGTCGCAGCTGAAAGCTCGAATCAAGGCCCGGCATCCTGCCGCCAAGACGCTCGTTCCGGCAAAAATCTTCATGCCTCGGGCAGACACCAAGACAGTCAGCTGCTAGTCACCTCTTGGCGCGGCCGCTTTAAGCCTCGCCACAGCTCCTGGAGGCGCTTTGCAAGAGTCTCTTCGATGCGCTTGTCTTCTTCTTCAAGGACGACATCGGCCTGCTGCAGAAGATCCTGGAGCTGCGGAAGATTGCAACAGACTCGAGAACGACAGCGTCTGCAGACCTTCTCGGATTAGGAGTGCAGCGTGAGGTTCAGAAACCAAGACATGCTTGACACATGGGAGCCTGTGCTAGGATGCCAAGAGGCCGCGCGTTCTTGCAGTGTGACAATGTCGGCGCCATAATCGCGGCAGAGAGCGTGGAGCTCGTCCAAGCTTTTGCCGTGCGCGCTCGAGGCTTCCTTCAACTTCTCCACCGTCAAAACCAAGTTCGCCGCTCCTGCACAGGCAACCCTTGGCAACCCATGCTAAGCACACTATTCATCGTGCAATAGCCTTCCGTCAAGCCGAGGCTTTCCATCACGTTTTGGATGTCAGCCTGGCGCTTCGAGGGAACCAGCAAGCAGCTCCAAGCGAAGAGTTCGTCTTGTGAAAAACGGCCAAAGTGTTGCCAAGGGGCCCTCAGCCCATCCAGCCTCTCTGTGAAAACCGCTTGGCGGTCGTTACCTGACTGCAGTGCAACGGGATTTATGGCTGTTTCTTGTCGGCACTGGGCAGCGCGGCCACCTTGTTAGCATGTAAAGTGCCTTTCAAAAAACCGCCTTCTTCCAGGACCGATGCTCTGGGTTTTTGGTACCGATCGGTGAGGAAACCAAAGGACAAGCTCTACATGCTCAGTCCAAAGCACTCTCTTGTTGCTGCCTCTCCTGTACAACCTGCATCCGCATCGTTTGATCATGACGGCGCGCCAAAGTGGCGAGCTCCTGCCATGTAGCTACGTCATCTTCGGCATACGTTCTCTAGTGACTCTAGTCGCATGGCAAGTCAACAGCTCGACTCCGCAGGTCCTCGTTCGTATCGTTTGCGCGGAGGATCTGCTGCTTGAGGTTCGCATTGGTCTGGCTCAGCTTGTGATCCAAGTCCGAAATCGACTTGAGGATTGCTTTGACCCCTCGGGTGGCAAGTTGAGGGCTTGTGAACGAGTCTCACGAACGTCGAGCTTCTGTCAAGGCGCTCAGCTCCTCTTGACGTCTTTGCAAGCCATGATTTTCCAAGAAGGCTTCTAATCGTTCCCCTTGCTTCTGGACCCGCTCTTCAGACTTGCCTGAGATGAAAAGCGACTTCGATCCATCGCACAAGCACATCACCACTCGGCTGCAGCTTTTCGAAATCGCTTTCGTTGCTGAGGAAAAGCAGCGCTGACTGCTGACCGGATTCGGCACGACTCCTCTGTCCGGGAATTGCCCTGCGCAACTCTCGCCACTTCCGCCCGCAAAGGGTCCAGCTGACCAGTCACCCGCTCCATGACCACGTCCTCAGTGCAAGACACAGAGAATCATCTGAACTCGGAAGCACATGGAAGCAAGCGAACTCCCGCTCTTACTCGTAGCACGTCTTTGCGTCTTTCAAGCTAGCTGATTGCAACGCCCTGCTGCGAAGCGCAACCGGGTCACACCGACCTTATTCACCTCGACGGCCAGTTTTCGTACTTCCAGGTCGGCGGCGGCGTTTATCCGCTTAACATCGAGCATCATGGAATGACTTTCGCGATGGCGGCGATCCAGCTCGAAGAGATCCTCTTTAACCTGCAACTCGGCAAGTGGCAACCGAATTTTCGGACCGTAGTAGCGCACCTTCTTCGCCTCCTTCTTGCCCGCACAAAGCTGCGAGTCGACGTCAGCAAACTGCTTCTGTTGGTTTTCCTTGGCCCCCAAATCCGTGCCCCATGCAACGGCTGCACACAACATGCAGCATGTCGGCCTTGACCTCGAGCATGCTCACCTTGGCAGCCTTCATCTCTGCCTGTGGTACACCCAACAAGCTAGGCAAGTGATCCAAAACCGCGTTACGACTGTCATATGTAACAGGAGCTCAGGGCACAAGGGCCTGCATCACCTTCAGTGTTTGTGCGTGCTCCTGTGGTTTAAGCATGTTTAAGCAGCTTGCGCCACGGAACGGGCTCCACATCGACCCGTTAAAACACAACAACGGTCTGGTCCTGAAGCTGTTTCTCGTGACCGGCAAAGGTCTCGACATCAGCCGTCAACTGGGTCACCGCACCTGCACGGTGTTTGTGCCAGTTGAGACATAGCAAGGAAACAGGAAGTCCTTAAGAAACTTAGCCAAGCTTCCATTCAATTCGTCGACCTTTGTTGTTCATCAAGCAATGAAAATCGCAGCAACAATCTGGAGCATGCAATCCCTTTTGCACATCTTCGCATCCAAAGCTGTATGTGCAGGTGATAAGGCAGCGGCGCTGTCAGCAAACGGCTGCAGAATGCTGTTGAGATACTTGTGGATGAAAGCCATCATTGTTTCTTCGCCCATCCCCCGCTCATGGGATATTTCTTCATGGACGGAACCTGGCTCGCAGCAGGCAGTACGGGGGGCGGGGCATACGCAACGCGGAAGGTGCGCCATGCAGCGTTGCCATGCTGTGGAACTCGAGGAGCAGAAAAACAGAAAAACGTTCACGCTTTACACACGGGGCACAGGAGCAAGTCCAGGAAGACTTCATCGTTTTCTTTTGCATCACATCAATTGCTACAGAGATGGCGCTCTGTTTTATCCTTGTGCTCGGTGACAATTGCTGCCCTGCGCAGGTCAAAGCGTTTGAGCCATGCAAACGTCTCTCCAAAAGAGACAGCTTTATGCTCACAGCTCGGACAAGCCAGGCGAGGTTCCATAGGTCTGAGTCAAAGATTTAAGGTTTGCTCTTTCATTATCTGCGACGTCGTACAGTGAACATTGAACATGCAACCGTTTTCCATGGATAGCTGCCGGTCACAGGTTGGACTGGCGCCCACGTGCAACCAAGCAATTCACTTCTTCTTGGGCATTTGGGCCTGGGGCGACCAAAAAAAGAAACACTAGCACGTTGCAGTCAGTGCCAGTTTGGTATGGGTCCTGATAATACTTCAGGTTGGCTGATTGATCCCCATCGCGGAGTCGGGTGCGAATCATCTCCTCAGAGCCGCTACACTTGCGGAAAGATGGTGGGCCTTACAGTCCTTACAACAGCTGCAAGTTAGATACATCTCCGGAGCATTCCCGTGCATATCGCTCCTGCTCTTGGCGGTTTTGGGCCATCATCTGTTCGCGCCAGGCCTGCACCATGCTGGCACACTGCATGCCTGCTGGCCCACATGCCAGGATATTGTGTATGTCAGTGTATGTATTGCGACTCGCACCTTGTTCTTGATTAGGCCCTTGATCATCCTGCAATGGCCAATGTGCAGGTGCTGATGTCTTAGTTCGTGCTTCGCAACAGCAATTGACAATAAATCGCTGCATCTCCTCAAAGCCTTCAGCCGTATCTGGGGAGCGCCAGAGAGCTCAAGCCCCGAGCGCACCCTTCAGGGACGACAAGGCCAATTGGGATGCAAGGAGCGACGAGAGTTGCGCACTTGTTATCAACTACTGTGATCTCACATGTAGGTTCTGATCACTGTGGTTGCCTGGCTCCCGTCTTCTGGCAGCACACTTACTTGCAGTAAACCGGTCTCAAGGCAACCAGCCTCTCCAGGACGCTCGGCAAGAACTTTTCTCCTGCCTTTGAAACTCAACCGGTTGTCATATATTTGGTAGTAGCCGGACATAAGATTACAGAAGTAGAAGGCTTAGGACTGAAGGCAGAACGTGGTCTGAGGTCAGAAAGAAAGTAAGATACGGACGGGCAGGATTTCGTTCACGAGGCCGCAACGATGCATTTCCTGCACCAGTACGGCAGTAGTTTCCACCACCCGGAAACCTTTGACGCTGAAGCGTTGCATCCTCCGGCGTCTTCTTCTTGGAGAACAAAACCATCTCAGATGCTATCATCGGGCCTTGGTGCGATGCTTTCTGTGCAGGCCTCAACCACCAAAGTATTATCATCAGTGGTTTTGTGTTGTCGCGATCATACTAAGGCATAATGCTGTCTGTTCCTTCTTGCTGCTCAAGGGTCCAACTCTCTGGGCTAGGGTGAGCGAGGAAGTGATTTCCGGCACCACTCCAAATCTTGCGAATGGTGCCCAAAAAAAGGCGGAATCTGCTGCGTAGATCACATCCCCAAGCCTTGGGAGTGGGACGTGTTCTGATGCAGCATCTCGCGCAGCGTATCCCGACACATGTCCTCGTGTTCTGAGCACGAAGCATCAGTGTAGTAAATCCTGCCGGCTGCCGGTAACGCGCGAGCGCAACATAATGGAAACAAGACCGTGCGCTACCAAAGACAAAGATTCCTTCGCCGATGGCCGGGCCGTTGACGGCGATCACCAGCGGTTTGGAGAAATTAATCCAAGCATCCTAGCTGAGTGAAATACGACGACCCATGCGCATCGTGCACAAGCATGGGGGCGTACTTGGCACCTTGCATCTGAGGCACATACATATTCACGTCTGACCAAGTGTTCGCATCGAACGGGTCGTACTGGGAGAGGACAGCCTTGATCTGTTGAACCCGCGGCGGATCTTCAGCCGAATACGTAGCTTTCCTTCCCGTCCTCAGCATGAAGAACCAGGAAACTTTCCCGCGAAAGATGATCGTCTGCGTCCTGCCGTCACGACCTACAGGCGAGGTGCACATCTGCTCCAGAGCAGAAGTAGCGCCCAGCTCCAGTTAGAACTGCACAAAGGACGCTTTCATCGTTTTCTGCCTCCTCGAACGCAGCCTCGACGCGACAAGCTTGCTGGAAGATTTGCACTTGCTGCTGAAGAGCGCTGCGATCACAATCGATCCATTCAGACAAGATGCGATCATGTCACAGTGCACCTCGGCACTTCGAGCTTAAGGCACCGGCGTCGAGCATGCTTCGCATTCGGAAGAGCGAAAATGTAGGAGCGAATCCAAACAGATCTTGAGGTCAATCTCGAAACTGATTGCGGCTGTAGGCAGTGACGTAGTTTCACGCAATACAATAGAGGAAGCTGCTTCCCGAACATGAGCCTCCCGCCATCCCCGCATGCCGGAAACTCCTCCTCCTCCTCCGCTTCCTCCTGCTGCTGCTACTACTACTACTACTACCACCACCACCACCACTACCACCACCGCCACCATAAAGACAACCACTACTACTACTACTACTACTACTACTACTACTATCACCGCTACTATTAAGACGATCCGACAAGAGTCACCAGCTACTACCCACCACCTACATGCACCTGTCACCGAATGCGTTGCCTACTACCTATTGCTACCAATCCAGCACTTGACAGACCAGCCCCACGCCGACCACCTACTACCAGCCACCTACTTACAACGACCATCACCACCGCCACTACGACTACGACTACTACCACCACTACCACTGCTACTACCACTACCACTACCGCTACCACTACTACCACTACTACTACTACTACTACTACTACTACTACTACTGCGACTGCTACTGCTACTGCCACTGCGGTTTTCTTCTTCTACTACTACTGCTA